CCCATCTCCGGGTGACTTTTCCAAAATATTACTTGAGGAAGACAAAGGTAAAATTCCAACATGAGTGTTTCACGGGGTGCTTTCAGTAAGGGATTATTTTTCCAAAAATCATCGGACTTGATAGGATGGTACAATGCACATCCGCCAGCCAAACATAAAGCCATTGGATTTTATAATAACTGTGAGCCTCGTCTGCTTCATTTTCTATCCAATATCATTAATGATTAATACCAACATTACCGGTATACGATATACACCTGGAGGCACTGTAGCTTCAATCAAGAATTGAGATGGGAAGGTCCCCAACGTTCAAAAGTTCACAGGGGACCACAGGAATGTGTCCTCTGACATCTTAAGTCATCTGGTCAGAGGTGATAGCAATTAGTAAGTCTGTGTTTGCAAGTCAAAGTCAAGTCACGAGTCAATTTTTGCAAGTCGAAGCCAAGTCGCAAGTCATTTAGTCTGGTTACAAGTCAAGTCACAAATCATTTGATCACAGGCGGAGTCAAGTCCTAAGTCAATTTGGTCCGAAAGACAGCAACTTAGGTCACAAATCTTTTTATCCAAGTACAAGTCTAGTCAGGCGGACGTGTGATTTCGAACTTCAGCCAAGAGATTTGGATGTGGTCTTGGGCAGACAAGACCGAAGTAGAAATCATGAGACAAACAAAGTCTTACACTTTGGAATGCAAGGAATACATCTAAGTTAATAGGCCTCATTTAAGTTTAATGGGTTTGATTGAATAGTTTCCCGACTTGCGTTGGTAACAAGTCATAATGTGTAAGTCTAAGTCAAATCACGAGTCATTTTTGCAAGTCCTATCAAAAACTGATAGACAAGTCAAGTCACTAATCACAAAAACAGTGACTCCAGTTCAAGTTGAGCGACTCGAGTCTACAACTCTGCATATTATGAAGCCTATGACCATTCAAGTTCGATGGTCTGGAGTATTTTGGCCAGTTATTGATACACGTATATTCCGTTAAATAACAAAATATTTTTAGGACCAAGACACAGGCGCTGGACACAAACTGTACAGCACAATTATGTTCTTTTTCCCAGGTCACTCAAGCACAAGAAAGGTTCTGATTACCCACCTGGCATGACATTAAACAGTATCGCACAAGGACTGGAACCACAATAAAAAAGTCTTGATGGTATTAATTTGAAGTTTTCGTTTTACATATATGTGTATTTTGCCAGAGTTCATATTGAGAAGAAATCACTGAAAGCTCTGCGTGGATTCATTTCAGCAAATTTGTCTAGAATACAAGCTACAATGTGCCGGGTGCATGTGTACACATGTACATGTACATTTGCTTGAGTGTACACGTACATGTACATATTTACCATACTAGTACATGTACATGTACGTAGTATCTACCTCAGCAAATATTGAAAGGGCTGCCAGAAGTAATGAAATAGTGGTGCATGCACAGTGGCATCTTCAAGCAAACTTGTATCCTCGATCCTGATTGGTTGATCCATGGCACAAGCAGTGTGAATGTATAATACTGTATTACGCAGTCTGTATCACACCCCGCATATTGCTCTCTTCTACGGTACATGTAACTCCACACATTGCAATGCTTACACAAAATGTACAGCTGCAGAATCCACTGTATAAAAAATTCATAAGAACATGTACATGTAGCACATTTACTTCCCGTGCTGATTGTCATTATGCCATTGAATGTGTGCACGTTCATTCCGTCGTTACTGTTCATCAAGTTTGCATGGAGATACGTTCATTATCACACTGTGGATCACAGAATAATTTTTATGTGTCTAGGTCCCACATACCACTTGCGCTTTGCCCTCACAGCGCCGCTGCTGGTACCAGGGAAGAGACTGACCAATGATAAGTATACAATGTAGCTGAAAACAGTTGAAAAAAAGACATAAAGAAGCTGAAGTGTGAAAATCTCCTATTCACGTACTTTAAACTGTACACAGCCAGTGAGGAAAAAAAAGCTGAAATCCATAACCAAAAAAGCTGAAATCAGCTGAAAAGCTGAGAAATCTCACCCCTGTGGTACATTTGACCACAGATTGACCAGTGATAAAAATAGCCGAAAACAGCTGAAAAGAGGCACAAAAGAAGCTGAACTGTGAAAATCTCCTATACTTATGTACACAGCCAGTGAGGAGAAAAAGAAATCCTTGAAATCAGCTAAAAAGCTGAGAAATCTCACCCCTGACTTTTACAGTCCACTGGTTCAATGAACTAAAGAGCATTCACCCAATTACAGCGTAGTTGATATTCTGAGAATGTACAGTTTAATTAAAAGCACAGTTTTAATAATCGAGTGGTGGTCAGTGTCCTTAAATTTAATGTATCAGCTCTGTGTACTTTGTATGGCTGTTGACACTGTCACATGCAATGTCATGTGAAATGAGAAAAGTTGGGACATGTGCCTACCGGTACATGTAGCAGGTTTGCACTGGAATGCACGGACGGTGTGCCAATTATTGACAATGTTCTAAGCGAATGTGCAAAAACTTGTCCTTGTCTTTGCACGGGAGCTGGGAGTTATGGCCAATGGCATTTGTGTGTCGGCCAGATGTTTCTTTTCTCTACCACCGAGGGGGCACTTCTGCACAGGGTTCTGATCCTTACCTTTACATGTAAGTGTGTGTACAAATACGCATGTACATGTAGCAGTACTGTCAACTTTTTGTCTGATACATGTACATGTACGTGGTACTGAATAGTGAAGAAGGTTGTAAAAAATAGGTGCTGAATGGCATAAAAGTCACAGTCAGGGTAACTTCAAATGAGCCAGTACTGACAACACAGATGCACTGTACATGTAGGCCTGTGTCAAGCTCGTATATTGTTTTTGAACACAACAAGGAGCCATTATTGAAATCAAAGAAGCTTAGGTGTCCACGTTTGTTGTTGCTTTTTACACGAGCAAGCAAAAAAACCAAGAAAAAACATGAAGTAAATTTAATTATGAAAAATCTAGTCCAGAGTATGTACATGTAGGCCTATACTGTTTGTGTACCATTATGAAATTTTAAAATCTTTTCCCCTCTAGTTTGTTAGAAACTTTTTGTACTAAAAACAGTTGAGTAAGTCTGCACTATTTAAATGTACATACATTGTACATAATCATTTGGTTCACTGTACACGTACAGTGTAATGGTGCACCTACATGTACATGTATATGTAAAATACATGTACATTGTACATGTAAAGTGTTAATCAATTCAAAAGCTAGAATTCCACAAATTTCCACAATGCTCAATTTCCACAGCTGTGGGTCCCCCATCACAACTCCAAGTTTAATTATTGTACCGCTAGGTACAACATAATTTTGTTGCCTAATTCACTTTTTAATTTCTCATTCTGGCTTTGTCACAGACGCTAAAACTCATCACTTATTCATCGGGCACCTCCACTGGCCTAGTGTCAACAGCTCACCAGCAATAATGCAGTGTAATTAAACACCACTTTCAAAACACAAAAATCAATTGCTGTTGTTGATCTGACGTGATCTGCGTGTTCCAATACTATTCTTATTGGACGACGCGTTGCTAAGCCCTCCTTGGCGACGGATGTTTCCGACTTTGCTTAGAGCAGATGGCTGATGAAAAGACTTCGAGAGGAGATCCTCGGTGGAAATTGTGAGTGGTTGGGCTTTAATTAAACAGTGAAGCCTGATACCGTACGAAGCCACAGCTACATTGTACAGATGCCTACTTTAGCTCTAGTGTGTTGATTTTGGTTGGGATGGAAACCAAACATTGCTTGCAAGCTCCCACTCAATCAGGCTTCAGGATGATCAGAAAAGGCAACACTGGCTGTTGTGATTTTTCAAGAAAGTAGTGGCATTTAGTTGGTCAGACAGACAGACAGACAGACGACAAGTAGCAGAGTTACACGTACATGTACTAATACATGTACTATGATGTAGCTGTATGACGACCTTCAAAGATCTGTTCATTGAATATTTTAAACTTATTCATTTAGGTCTTTGAAGTTGGCAGCAACAATTGAAATACCAGGATAAATCCATGTGATTTGATTGATGAATCATCGATCACTTGTTATTGAGTGCTGTTGCCACTTTGCAAAAATGGAAGTTGTATTCTGTAGTAACAAGAAGTTCTATTCCGTAGCCCAAGAACTCATCGGTTGATCATCAATCACTTGTCATTTCAAGACTGCCGTGACCACATTGCAAAAATGGAAGTTCTATTCTGTAATAAAAAGAAGTTATATTCCGTAGCCCAAGAACTCATCGATCGATTATCGATCACTTGTCACTGAGTGCCGTGGACACATTGCAAAAATGGAAGTTCCATTCTGTAGTAAAAAGATGTTCTATTTCACAGCCCAAGAACTCACAGGTGATGCATAGAAATAACCGGGCAGGGGTTTGTACAAGATTTATTTTGGTATTTAGAAAATATTTCTGTAACGTACCCCCGGTATATGTACAATTGCACATGTACGTACCGTATGTTTCACATCCTTGAAACAGAACACGTAGTTGAGTTCAGTGAAACATCGAATATTCCATTTCACTCAGCTTAACTTCAGGGATGGAAGATTCCATCATTCCAAAACACATCTCTATTGCTCTTTGTCAATATCATTATTTTTTTCCTTTGTATTGCTCAAAGATGCACAATTTCAGTTACATTAAAAGCTGCTGCCAAAGGACTTGATGAAAAGCTTCACTTGAAATTGTTCTAACCAACGGACTGACAGAATTCCCAGGATGCCTAATTACAGTTTAGAATGGTTTTGCATTAAAAACAGTTGACAACCGTTCGGCAATAAAAATGTGCTCTGAACTGATGTCTGCTACTTCTCAAAGTGAGCACGACATGCCTTGTCATTGTTTGTTGAAGGGTACAAGCGGCCTAAGAATGAAGAGAAAAGGGGTTTAGGGTTCCAATTACAAATTTTGTTTTACCTGACCTGAAATTTCCAGGAAAAAAGTAAGATTTTTCTTTCGGCAAATACCCTACACATACACTGTACCTTTGCCCTGGCATTGATGTGCACTCCGAGATCAATTAATCTCTCCGCTACCACAATTTTGTTGTCTTTGACGGCCAGCATAAACGGAGTGACTCCAGTTTCCTGAAAGAAAAATAAACGCAAGAAAACAAGTTGATTGGTCAAAGGAACACTTCTCTTTTATACTCGTACCTGAGAACTATATGTACATGTATTATTGTACAGGTGACCAGGTGGGACCACTTTCATAGTGCTCCTTAGCAGTGGGCACACGGGCTCTGCTAATTACAGGTATAAATCTGCTTGATGATTTCTGGTACCTTCATGGCGTGCAATGCAAGCAGTTACGGGTTATGTAACTAAGAAAAGCTTGCCCCGAATCACGAGGTACATGTATTGCAACAGTGGCTTTAGTGTGGAGAATTCCAATTTTTATGTTCACGTGAATTTAAAGTACTCAGTGTACCAGATTTTATTCAAATTTAACTCGCAAAAGGCTTATTGGGCCATACTGTACCTCTGTAAATTCCTCTCAGATTTTGGACAACTTACTCTGTATTCCTCCTTCCCTCTATATAAACCTCCTCACTGAAGGAGGGTTACTGGAGTGAAAATGGAAGATTACAGCCAGATCATAAAGCTGTCACAGGACAGGAATGCTCCCCTACCAAGCCTATAATTATGTACTGGGGGATCTGCGATAACGACTGACGAGAAACAAGTCAGGTGTTCACATTAAGGCTGGTTCTTGGATCGCACCCACTGCCCTGCACAGTTAATGATGAAGTCTGTATTACTTTTCAGAGTTGTGAGGTTACATGTATATGAGACAAACTGTTTAAATCCAAATTTTGTTACTGTCACTGTCTTCACGTACTAAAGAGTATAAAAAATGGCAATTTCACCAGTTCATTTCAGAGTCACCCCCTACAAGACTGACAGGTGAAGTCTTAGGGCAGGTTCATGCTTCAGGCAGACTTGAAAACAAAGCAAATTTATTGTCACCATGTGTATTTGCAGTGAAATTCCCTTGAGTCGAAATGTGATCAACCGCACAAATGTATTCATCTGATGTCAGAATTTCCATATGATCACTTTTGCGCCATAATTATCTGGCAACGTTTCAGGGAAGAGTTTATTTATATTGAGTGGGGCATTCGCTCTCGTTAATTTATGAATCTGACTTTCCTTTCTCATCGCTTCCCATAGAAAAAGTCCAGGTGAGTAGGAGTTGGAAAGGGCTGGAAAGGAAGCATTATTTACATGTTTGGATTGGGAAATACATGTAAACTGCAATGCAATTTGTGGATTAGTAACATGAACCAAACTGCTTGAAAAGAGACCATTCAATGTGCACCTGCAAATTTCTTTGTCCTTGTTCAAGCTGATTTCAATCCAGCAATTCACTTAAACCTCTACACTGCCATCAGTTTCAAATGTAGTGTGGGTATAACTCTCACAAGTTAAAAAAAAAATCAATTGTCATTAGTTGTCAGTTTTAACAATCCAATTCTCATTTATTTCCTCTAAATCTCTTTTCCTGTTGCACATTTGTAAAGTCCAAAAACTAAGTCATTATTGATTACATTGCTCAATGTGCTTAATGGAAGCCATTACGGCTGAAACTTGACGGTTACCGAACTGAAAATAATGGCAGAGGCATAGTTAAATGTAAACCTAGCCCATGCCAATTAATGCAGAGAGCTGACAATTTGTATGAAGCAACATGGAGTGAACTTTTGGGCTTTTCAAAAATTAAGAGCAGGACAATAAATCAGGTGCCTACATGTAAGTGTGACCATTGTCCACCTTGCTTTACGGAATTTTAAGAAACATACCCCGAGGGAGGGTGGAGGTATATATATTTTAAGCTATCCCTACCCACACTGGTTCACTTTAAAAAATTGTTCCCCCACGTCGCAGGAGATCTGTTTAATGGATCATTGACAGATCTGAAGCACAGCATTCAGGGTATCTCGTTGGCCCTGGACCCAGGTGGAGGAAAGCAGTAATCCGTGAAGATTCCACCTGCTTCTATTGTGGCTGCTTCCTTTTTAGCGGATCCCCCCCATTCCGCACAATGCAGTTGGTGATTTTCATTGTCCCGTTGCTACGGCAATCAGATAATCAAGTGGCAGTGTACAATATGCCCAGGAGTAGTTGACGGAGAAAAAAAAATTGGACAAATACTCATTGAATTGAGATGCATTTAGTGACTCCATAAAAAAAAATGTCCCAAAAAATCTGAATGTTGTAGCGTGTTGAAGTCCAGTGAACTGAAACGCAGAAATGTTTGGAATTTGGTTTCAGCCTGGCTGAATTGAGCTCAACAATGCGTCAGCAAATTTTCTACGACAAAATTAATCAGCCATTTAAAAGATACAGTATGAACTAAGGCCTTCGATCTATAGAAATTTGTCCGATGTTTTGTGTCACCATGACAACTTGACAAGTATAAAGGGCATTTTATACTCAAGACTACCGAGTTTAAGAGCATGATGAGGCAAATCAAAAATGCCTTATACCAGAAACGGGGCATACAGGTTGCATAAAGGCCAATGACCTTCCATTTAATTTCTATCATGATAATAATAATCAGTGGGCAACACCAGGTTGGACCAGCATTTGGCAACTTGGCCCATGGGTAGCATCCGGTCTGACCAGAAATCGGCGAAATCAGGCCCAACCAGAAATGGGCAAAATGTAAAAAGCGAGCACTGCGCTTAACACACAGAGTGTAGTACATGTACATTGGTTGAAATGGTTTACCACTTTATACAAATGTACGTTAATATTGATTTACCCTAACGTGATGTGCCTCTCATGTGGTACATTTTTAAATTTTAGCCTCTAATGTCTTACTGGCGTAATTGTTTTACCTCAAATTTCACAAAAGGTGAAATTAAATAAACCTCCCAAATATTCTGATTTTTAAATTTTGATTTTACAAATCTACTACAAACTTCCAATGAAATTTGCTTTTGGCCTGACTTTCTGATTTTTTTCAAAGTGCAAACTGAACTCTTTTACAATGAGCTCAAAAAGGTTTTTCAACGAACTTGTAGTTTGGTACATGCACCGGTACACGTAAGCAGTAACCATGATTTACTAGAATTTATCAACTTTCAAGAACCTCTTCAAGTTCAATGTGTATCATGTTTATATGGGTTTTTCTGAGATTTGTTCAAGCGCACCACATTAGGCGACACTCAGCATGCTCAGCCAATTTCCGGATGCCAACGTTTTTGACAAAATTTCTTGACACTGAAATAGTTCACAAAAGTTGAACACCCTGTATCACGAAGTTATAATGTACAGTTCACCATGGCGTTTGTGTCCTTTCTCCACGAGTTCACCAAGAGGATTTGAAACGTTGCAACAAAGAGGTCTGGTAACACAGTAACTTGTAAGAGGAAAATCAAGCGAATGCCGAAGTACATCACTACTACATGTACTTGCATGTTCAAAGTGCACCACCTTGTGAGACTGTAACACATGCACACACGTACTAAAGTGTAGCATTCAATAACCAAACAAAAATCTTTGAGCTAGTACCTCCAGTACATACATGTACACGCACTGTGTAAGTCCCCTTAAGAAAAAACAATTGAACTAGATTATCAACTCACTTCATCTTGTCTGTTTATCTCTGGGTCGCCCTTTTCTGCATTCCGAAGTAAGGTCTCCGCAGTCCCCCATTCCCCTCGTAGGCTGAGTAGCAAAAGCCGTCCATTGGTACCGAGTCCCTGCTGGATCACTCCCCCGGCGCTACCCGGGGGCACATGTCCCGAAGACACGCTGCTCGCCACAGACGAACCGGCGATTGATGCCGAATCGGACATCGCGAAACTCGTCGAATGCGACGAACCCTGGTGCGAATACCTGTAGCCCTGTCCCTAGAAGAAAAAGAGGACCTCAGTATTTCAAACACACGATATTATTAAACCAATTTAATTGAGAAAACTCACAAAATGGCGCGGTTTCCAAGTTCATTTCTAATCAAACTTCCGTTGTAAACACCGACTGAACGCAGATTACTTAGTAAACTTACGAAGTAATACGAACTCAAAAAAAGTTTCCAAGTCACAACGTGGCGTAACTATCAATCCATATTTGGGTCAGTCCTCGGAATGTCGAAGGAAAAAGCACAATTTCTTCAAGACATGGTTTCCAGGTTACAGTTCCGGGTATCAGCGATTTCCCATGGCGGTTCAGAAACAGAGAAATTCGAGGTAGAAATTTGATCCCTTTTCGCAGACCAAACGAGTTGCGAAGCAGACGTCTGCTATCCCGTGTGTGCACACAAGTAATGTGTGTACATTACAGACCGCGTGTGGTCCATAGGAATGAATGCAATGTCGAGATCTGCGGTTTGGCCGGATTATTCGGCTACGGCTTCAGATAACGGACTCGCCTACGGAATTCGAAGTTGCAAGCTGGCGGCTTGGGATGGATTTCCTACTGATGCACGTATTGTATCCAGCCGTAGCCAATACTATGGGACGTGGCCGCCTGAGGCCGATCGGCCGTGAATGACCCCCCGTACCCAGTGCATGCGTGGTGCCTCTGGCGATAGAACAGGTGGAGGTTGGTTCGATTGCTAAAGCATAATATTCGGCTCACTAGGCTTTCGGTTCAAGACTGGTTCAACTGCAGTTCCTGGTGTATACTGCACGTAATAATATATACTCATTTGAATCACGGTTAATTACGATAATTCGTTCACTTTTGAGGGAGCAACAAAAGTCGACATCTCTTTTCCTTCCTCCATGAGCTGTTTTACTACAAAAGTTTTTCTTTCGATGAGTCAAAACTAATTAGTTCAATCACTTGATCGTTTAATGGTCATTTAAGGAACAATTCTACATCATTTGTGACAGTCAGGATTTTCTTTAAGCTTTGATTTCTGTTTGGTTTTTCACTGCACCAACTCTGACACGCCATGCGTAAATAGTTTATTTTACCGATGAGTTTCCAGGAATTTAATAAAATACAATTAAGCAATTTTGGAATACAACAGTTGTTTTGAAATTCTTATTTTGTCGAAGTTTATCTGATCACTGAAAGAGTCAGCTGCTTCCATGCAAGGAAGCAAATGGAAGTATAAAGTGTCTATTACAGATCCACTATATGCAAGTTACAACATGATGAGCACGATAAAATTGATGGCATAAAATTATTCATTTCTTAAAAACCAATCCAACGATCCAATCTAAGTCCTAAATACACACGGGCGAGTGGAAAGTTAATTGAATAGGTCTGACATGACTGATATATATCTGTGCATAGATAAAGAGATTTTACACAACGTGATGAAAATCGGCCAGCTTAAAAAATAATTAAAACTGAAAGCCGAAAGTGCTTAAATGCACGGACCTCTTTCCGCAGAACCAAGGAATGTAAATTTGTTCAGCTTTCTGTAACCTGAGAGATGGCATACCCATACACTTGGCATTGCGTGAAGACGCATATGGAGTTGATGACATTGCATTGCTGTTGCGACAATGATAGTATAACGTGAATTGAACGATATTATGTAAGATATTATCAAGTGTTTTTGATACATTGTATCTTCCTCCTTCGCCCTTGTATGGTAATTTTTTTCTGTGCCTGCTAATTACAGTTTTGGAATAAACTATTAGATTTTAATGGGAAAAACTGTTCTTACATGCGCACATGGTCGACGAGATTTAAACTAATTGGTGGCGCTATTTAAACGTACTGGTGAAAGAAAGATTTCTTGTGGAACGCTAATCTCTGTTTTGTACAGTGCCATCATTTTGGACGCTAAACACCTGGGAGTCAAGCTGTCGCAAAGCTAAACCGTCTCGGGTTCATTCTCCAAATGAATGATTTGATATTGCAAGGAAACCTGAGGCACTTTGACCGAGCTTTCAACTCATTACTCAACTTATGTGTTGAAACGGCATCTTCGTTTCACGCATCGTAAAAACACAACCGCAAAGCTTTTGTCAGTCTCGTGGCAGGTGTCAATGGAGATTCTACCCCCCCCCGGCAGCCACACACGCACAAACCGTCCAGCCGGCTGCTGGACAGACCATCCCGGGAATGGCTGTCCAACCGGACCGAAGTTTGTGTCAATCTCCCAGTATTTTGTTTTAGAATAACCCAGTGTAATTGGCAAATTCTCCAACCTGAGCCTTCGTAGGCCTAATTCAATTGCAGAAACCGCTTTTAATATCCAAAATCGGGGAAATCCGGAGCGTGGGTGCGACTTTGTACGTACTTGCTCCCGATAGGTGCCAAGGCTGGTTTGCTTCACATGAATCTAAACTCATGGAACGACCCAGCGTTGGGATCACTGATTAAGATCTGGTCCAGGTCAGTGTGAAACATTCTCTGTGTGTCAACGCGCATCTTTGACGTCATTGTGAAAAAGTGTCGATATTCAGTTTATCCTTGAGCCTCTTTCACCCTCCCTATCTCAAGAGGGCTGAACAAGGTCATTTGCAATTATAGCCCATCGTTGATGAGAGGTGAGAGCAACAGGACAGTGCTAATTGCCTGAAATGGTACCGACGAATGAGCTGGAGACTAGTAGGTGTGTGCCGCGACTCTGTTCAAGGTCGTTTGTGATTGGTTGGGCTGCCTGGAGAAAGCTGTCCAATTCGCTGTTGTCAAGTATGATTCATTGCACAGTGGGAATGGTTCAGTCCACAAATTGGTGCCTGACTATTGAAGCCCAAGAAAGGGCGGGGTTTGAATATAGTTCGGGGATGATATTAAAACAACTGGGATCAACTTTAGGTTCCCCCAGCTTTCTTTTAAATTTCTGTGTGTCAAAATCATCATCTCAGTTCAAATTGTTTTGGAAAAGTGTTGCCTTAGCAACTGCACACAAAAACTTGGTCTGTTTTGTTGATGCATCACGCACTTTAGTTGTAGTCGGATAAAATTTTTCTTAATGGTTTACGTTAAAATGTATGATATGGAACTTTGATCTATTTGCACAAAAATCAGTCATGACAAGTTTAAACATGCAGAAAGTATTTCTGTCGCGCCACTACTATATTGCCATTCTCACCTCAAGTGGCCACAGTACAAGGCCGTACGGCGAATTGTACAGGAAAAAAAGGGAGAAAAGTGGTCACATAATTTCCCCATCCATTAACGGTGATTTAATAAGGAGGACTGTCATCCGATTTATCACCTGACTCCGGCTAGTAACAAAATTCCCACTTACCACCGAAACCTAATTCAATCGGGACGGTTATTTTATCCCTCCGAATCTGTGGATTTACACGTACGCTCTCGCGAAAGGATTTTACTTAACTTCACGGTGTGCATGGGCGTAGAGTGGGACAATGAATTTGTCTTCACACTGGTGATGGATGGCCCTCCACGTGATGGGAATTTCACGATGTTAGCTTGCTCAGGAAATTGAGACTAGAGAGATAAATGTCGGGCAGAGAGGAGTTATTATACCTCGGCAGTACGAGAGTGACCCCAGTTTTATGACAGTGCACTCTGAAGGAGTCGAAGGGTTTTTGGCGAGAGAAATGAAGTTATGCCTTGAAAGACAGAAAATGTCTTGAAAGAAAAATCTTGACAGGATTCCTGGCGATTGCGTGCTGCGATGAGATTTTGGATGTATACTTGAAAATTTCTATACTTTGTATAAATTAATGATTTAATAATAAATTTAGATAAATAAATTACATCATGTCCTCGCAATTTTCTCGAACACGATAGTGTGATACACGGTAAAATAAAAGTCTTTTGGAACAAGGGAGGTAATTATTTCATGAGGTGGTGAGAAATATTTCATTTCATGAGGTGGAAGGTGACTGGACCGGAGTAGTCCATCTATCCCTGGAATTACCGATTTCCAGTATGCATAAACATGGAACAGTCATTCGACCCATTAGTTTATTAAGCAACGCCTGAATAAATCCCCGCATTAGCTGAATGAATCCTTAGCCATCATCACCCAAGGGCACCGACTAGACCAAGAGAGGGCGCAATTTTCGCAACAACGTGGGCTCCTTTGGTGGGAACTGCTCATCGCTGGTTTACGAACTACAGTGACATGCAAGCATTGCGGTTGCATTGCTACCAAAAAAAATGAACACTCCCCCACCAGCACAGCTCTAATTCAACCGATGGGGGGGGGGCTTCTGCTAAAGTATGTCTGTCAATAGATTAGGGTACAAAGGCAAATCTATGCTTCACCCTTTACCTAAATGTTGTTCTTTAACGTGTTAACGTGTTAATAAAATACCAGTGATCACAGTGAAAGATACAAGATTAGTTACTCATCCTCTTGTGTTCGAGCGATAGAACATCTTTCTACCAGTGGAGTGGAATTTCTCCTTCGCTGCATGCCAGCATCGTGCAATGGACGTGAAAAAGAGTGAACTGAACTCAGTGACACGTGATCAATCATATCCTCCAATCAGATGACGGGGATTAGTACTCGGCAGTTGTGTAAGGTCAAGTAGGGCCAACAACATCATCACCCACTCCGGGTGAGTGCCATCCAGTTTCAAGGGTAATTGGGAAAAACAAGTTTGAATGTTTGTCCTTTCTTGACTGGCTAGGTTTCTCTGAAATCAATGGAGGGCGCTATAGACTCGATATCGTTGATAATAATTATTTTTGGAGAATTAAGCTGAATTGGGGTCTGTGAAATAACGCTGAAATGATGTTTCCGTACCTTTGCTGTTTTAGGCTGGATGAAGTCGCTTGCACTGAATTTCGACTTCTCGGATCCCTTTCGGTTCAGTTGGGATTTCCCATTCTTTCTACTCGTGCTCCATCTGGAATCCTTCTTCGTTTTCGCCTTCTGAGACTTACTTCCAGCATCATGCTTATTTCCTTGTTCCGGGATAATTTCCTCTCCCGAATTCTTCTCAGCCGGCTCAACAGATGCCGCTCTCAAATCGGTTCCCTTTTCCCCGGGGCGGGCCGTCAGAGTTGAGACATCGCGTGGCGAGTCCTTAGACTCCGTTTGGCCTGTCCCGGCACTTTCGTTGGCCGACAAAAATACCCCAGTTGCTCCTCTTTGGTTAGTCTCTGGGGAGTTTCCACTCTTTGTCTTTTCTGGAAAATTTGCTTGGGATTGTGTCTTCATATAGCCAGGGACACTAATATCCGCAGATCGATCCATATGTTGCTGAAGACTGTCATTTTGGAAGACCTCCTTACTGTATGATTAGGACCGACTTGGTTACCGCTCTCCTTCAGACAATGTCTAACGGGTTGCCCAACAAAATGAACAGTGGTCGGATGTTGCAATCCTCCTCCAATTAAGAAACAGAGCCCCGTGTATCCTCCCGTCAACATCGTCAGTGATACCGTTGCCAAGGAGATTTACCGCCCAAAACGCTGCTTCTGGCATCTGATTAGAGGGTGCGTCCCTCGAACATCCGCGATATAGCGTGTTTACATCTCATCCGTCGACAAGAGGTGCATTTTCCAACTTTGTTTATCCTCCGGAGAAGAGACATGCCGCGTTTTTGCAGTTCCTGATCGTCGGGGTGCTTGCTATCACGAGATTAATTTCTCGGGATGGAGACGAAACGAAATTCCAGTTTCCATCGCGATAGATCATACGGACGTGTTTTTCTCAGCGGCTTGGCACTGTGGTTGATGGACGGTTTGGATTGTTGTAATCGCTATTCAGCACATCACGACGATGTAGGAAAGTGTCTCGAGCCGCCCTAGCGCAAACCAACAGGTCTTGAAGGAATGCTGCCAAGAGCAGTCGCGTGAGCGTTGATTACCAGTGCTTGCATCCGAACGCCGTCTCAAAGCTCCTCACAATGCAGCACGAGTCACGGGGACTATCTAGCTGACGGGAGCTCATTTTTCACGGGGCGCGCCATGACGATAATTGCATTCCGTAGCGTTGAATCTTCCTCTTGCATTACTTTGTCACAAAATCGCCATTGAGGTCGAATTGGAAAGACTGGTAGAAATCCATAAATGGCAACAAATATTGCTATGGATTCTTGACCTAAAGTCATAAAGCGCAGGCAGTTTCCATCACTGCTTGTTTCCACAGATGTTGAGATAAAATTTGAGAGGAATTTTATTCCACGTTTGGTTTTAAAAATTTGATTTTTTTCCGATGAATTTCGTCCAACGATTAGCTCTCCATGTCTGCAAGCACAGATCTTGAAACTAAGATTGTTTGACTCACAGCTAGCAGAGGCATAACCAGCTGGGTCCAATTTCACAGAGCTGTGTACGCACAGAATTTGCTTAATTACGAAAACACCTTACTTAATAAACAAAGGTTACTTGCTCAAACTCTATGTGATTGTCATGCGAACTAAAAGACAGATAAATACCACCCCTAAACAATATATATCACAAGAAGTTTTGGCTGGTAACCCGATTTGTCAAGCAAGGTTTTTTCACGCTTAGACAAATTTTTCGCTTAAGTAACGCTATGAAATTGCCCTAGATCTATGCGGTCGCGTTAGCTGCACGTCATCAAGAAAAGGATGGATTTTGTACACATACACAGACGCTTTCCATAAAAGTGCAGCAAGTCTTTAAATTCCTGAGGCACGTATTTCCAGCTAATTGGCCTTAACGGTCCAGGGTTTTGACAAAAATGGAGAGCTGTGGAAAATTAGCCACACTTTTACTGTAATTTACTCGGCAGGACCACGGTAGATAAATTACCCTTAAAAAACCCTTTTGCGCGCGTACGTGTAATTTCCAGCAAATCCGGTAAAAAAAATCGTCATCGAGAGTAATAAAGCCTTCCTCACTAATTATGCTTTTATCCAAGAACGGCGCTCATTTACTTTGTGCCTGTTGCAAAGGAGATCACGATTCCCAAGGCCAACCAATTCCTATACCACAGTCTGAGGACATCCAGTCAAAGGGCGTCGCTGAGCACAGGAAGTACTAATACTTGTATATCCAAGCAATGTAAAGAAGGGAAACTCAAAGAAAAGATGATGTCTGCAGGGGAAAAATGGCGAAAAATGGAAAAAAGGTGACAGATCAAAGTGCATTTAAAATACAGGAATACATTTAAACACAAGGCATGGTCCTGTGTTTTTTCGCTGCCTTCCTGAATTTTAATTAGCCTGGGGTCATAACTGGATGGAAAAGGATTAAAGTATTATTTCTGTGAAATTTCGAAGGATTAAAGGACTTAAAATTATAAATAATTCATGCTAAGGACAGGTTTTAGCATCAGCTCAAGCGAGGAAAGATGCAAATTCACAACAGCAAAAATATTGATACAGTGAAATGAAGGCCTGATACTGCTTTTGGTAACAGCGACGACACAATAATGGTGGCCAGACGGTTCTCTCGCAGCATTGCAGCGGCCACCTCGGTCTTTGTGATGTATTTCTTGGTCAGCATGACCGGCAAGGCGCTAGGGATGCTGCTGGTTCCGCTGCGAGACGACTTTGGTGTCGACACGTGGGTCGTCGGCACCGTCTTCGCTCTGGTGGACTCGGTGTCCGATTTGACAGGTAAACCAAAGCTCCATTGGGACAGAAACGCAACGAGGGCTGAAGTCGTGCTCGCTAATTTTGAAAAAAAAATACTATGATCAGTGGTGTACATTTGTGCCTGATATGGGCTGGGGTGTTGTGGGAAATGGTGGGGGCGGGGATTTGAAAAGTGGGCACCTGCAAAATCTTACTTCAGAGCGGCAAATTTATAGCTTTTCTTTATTCTTCTTCCCTTTTGAGTATTAATGAATATGATTTTGGATTTTGGAAAGTTAGAAAATCTTTCTTATCCCCTATAAATTTCTTTTTCACTCACGGAAGTGGGGATTCAATAGCCGGTTCCCCCTCGGGCAAAAAGTGTGTGTGGGGTGTATATCCCCATCCCCCGGGATTTACGCCCTTGACTATGATAACGATTTCTGCAATCTCTTCCAAATTCATGGAGAATGTTAAAGATTGCAACTGGCTGACCCCTTGGTATTCATGTGCACTGACATTAATACATGTAATTATGATTAAAGGGTAGCTCTTTTTTTGGAATGTGCAGTAAGTTTTTCGTAAATGGGCGCCTCCTATTACCAGTGGCCCCTGTGTAAACGCAGGGCTCTATGAAATCTTCCACCGATCTTATTTTATAGTGGGGGGGGGGCGGCGGCAATTCACTCCCGTGGAAATTTCATGTTAATTTATGGCAACTATTATAAATACATTCATATGAGTCCCCAGAACAGCAAAATTGAGGATGCCATTTTTCTATTGACATCTAGTGACCTTGACATGAGGTCAAAGGTCACGGGTCATTTTCACCTAAACTTCTTCTTCCTGGACGGGTTTTCGAAGATTTTGAAGGCGAGCATATTTATATTTAATTATGAGCTTCTCCATGATGATAGATATAAAATATTGTTGTACTTATGGATTTTGTAGAAGAGAAGGGGCAAAGTGTCAATTTTCGGGCATGTTTTTTTTCACAACACAGGCCCTATAGCGTCATTTACAGGTAAGAAGTTTGGTAATCGCCTTGGGACTATCGCAGGCGGCTGCATGGTTGTCGCTGGCTTTGTCGTGTCTTCTCTGGCATCGAAGTTCCTCTACGTTGCGCTGTCGATCAGTTTCTTTGTTGGTAAATATACTATTCATATATAAAGAATAACAAGAAGTAGAAACATCCGTTGTTTTGGAAGCTTGTGTTTAATCTTTTCTTACTGCTCTTAAAGAGCTATGATACACAACACATGTAATTTAAAATTCTTGACGTTATATGTTTTTTTCGTGAATGACCAATTACCTATTTGGAATACAGGACTGGCTCGCTGTGCATAAGCATGCAACTAAAGCTGTTTTGGATGTGATTTTATTGAATTGGCTACGACTGGAGACAACATCGGGGTCAATGGGAAATGTAGAGAGCTGCATATGCTGGCGACTTGCACAGGTCCTTGGGTTGTCTATGGGCCTCGACTTGGACCAAGAGAGGGCGCTGTTTTCTTAGTAACCGAGGCCCCTTTGGTCGGGACTGAACTTCACTAGTTTAGGAACGATCAGGAAGTGCACGCGTCACGATTGTATTGTTACCAAAAATTCGAACACTCCCGACCAATGCGACTCTTTTCAACCGATGAGGGGGTGCTTCTGCTCAAGGCGGATAGCAGCACGAGGTTGCAGTCTGAACTTATCATTAGAACACGTAGGCCTACGTCCTCAGTTGCTGACTGTTTTAAGCTTTGAAAAGAGATAAACTTTCCTCTACAAATGCATTTGTCTTGCATGTTCAGCCCTAGGTATCAGCCTTACCCAAGTTCTGACGGTGGTTTCACTCGGTCAGCATTTCAACAACAACAACAACAGAGGCTTCGCGTTGGCCCTAGGAATAGGAAAATCTGCGGTATCCATTAGTCTGGTCTGCTCACCGCCTCTGATCAAGCTATTCATTGACACTTACGGGTGGCGGGCAACGATGCTGCTCCAAGGCTCCATTTGCGCCCACTACGTCGTCTCCGGCGTCCTCCTTGGCAACCCATCACAGGAGGGCGTGCCTGATGGCACCAGACCTGATTACGAACGTCTCCCAGACGACTGCCCGTCTTGCGATTCCAACGAGGGAAAATGCGTCTCAACTCTGAGAGCCTTGGGCCGGAAAATGGGCCGAGCTTTGGACTGGTCTCCGATGACAGAAAGCGACTTCTGGATGATCACCGTCATCCTCGTGATGTGTAAAACCAACAAGAATGCTTGGATCATATACTTTGTGCCGGCTGCCCTGCGCAAGGGGTTTACGCTGGAGTCGGCGGCTGTGATGGTGACCGTAGCTGGTATCGGTGGCTTGGCCGGAACATTCCTCGCCAGTTTTGTAGTTTATACAGGTTGGTAATCCTTCAAAACCCATGCCTTCAAATTCCTTTTGATATCCGTTCGAATAATATTTTGTGGCTTGGTTCAACAGATCGAGTGTTGAAAGAGTCATTTAAAAGAAACAATCGTTTTATTATTGGTATGTCATTCTGCAAAAATTCTTCCTAAGTTGAGGCATTGCATTATGGATGGAAATACTGTTGCAGTTCCCATGTATGTAGCCTATGGTGCAATTAGAGGCTTGTATATGTAGGTCTACAAGTGCAATAGGTTTGTGTATGTAGATATACAGGTGCCAGAGGCTTGTATGTTTTGGTCTACAGGTGTGACAGACCTGAGTATGTAGGTCTACAGGTGTGACAGACCTGAGTATGTAGGTCTACAGGTGTGACAGACCTGAGTATGTAGGTCTACAGGTGTGACAGACTTGAGTATGTAGGTCTACAGGTGCCAGAGGCTTGTATGTTTAGGTCTGTAGGTGCAAGAGACCTGTATATTTGGGTCTACAGGTGTGACAAACCTGAGTATGTAGGTCTACAGGTGTGAACGACCTGAGTATGTAGGTCTACAGGTGTGACAAACCTGAGTATGTAGGTCTACAGGTGTGACAGACCTGAGTATGTAGGTCTACAGGTGTGACAGACCTGAGTATGTAGGTCTACAGGTGAAAGAGCCTTGTATAGGTAGGCCTATGAATGAGCCTTAGATAAATTATGTAGGTGCGAGAGGCTTCTATATGTAGGCCTATAGGTGCAACAGACTTGTATATGTAGGTCTATAGGTGCAAGAGGCCTGTATATGTTGGCCTATAGGTGCACGAGGCTTGTATTTTGTGTAGTCCTACTTTTATTGGCTTGATAGTTATTTTTCAGTGCAGGTATGATAATGGCAAGTTCGAACGATTTGTTGACCACTAGTGAGTTTTCCCTTGTACTGTTACGCAAAAGGTATCGTCGGTACCCGGCGAAATCGACCGCAGGTTGGCAAAACGATCGTCCTTGGTACTTTACCCTATGATGCCGATTTAACATTGGACTGGTAATGAATTTGGAAGGGTGCGGCCTTTGGGCACGGCCGATTCAACATGCAAACTTGCGATGATCAGCGCAATGAACACGCTCATGCACGGGCTGCGTGGTCAAATTTACTTCAGTAGTCCGCAACGGAGAGACCGGGCAGGCCCGCCTGGTTCCCAGCCCCCGCAATTTCCAGGCTGCCAACTACAGGGAAGGCTGGTAAAAGCCCACCTCCTGTCCTGGTGTACACGCATTAAACAAACGAGACAAGGCTGCGTCGACCAGTGAAGAGCAAAAACAGGCTTAACAGTGATCAGCTCGATGGAAGTAATGACGTCCTTCGAGTATTACGCGTTGCGACGTCCACAAGACGCGTGTAACGAGCTTATCCCTTTGCCAGACCCGTTGAATAAGACTTGATAAATAGATCCATTTTGGTGGCTTGAGCTGCATAAGTTTTAGCCGGTGTGGTGGTCTCAGCTGACTCCCGGTCTCAGCGGCCCCCCTTGAATAGCCGGAAATTAAATGTACCACTTTCCCGTTGTCGTGCGCAGAGATGGCATGACGTATTTTACCATATTTGGTAAGGGGGACCGCTGAGACCGGGAGACAGCTGAGACCGCCACACCGGACTTGCTACACTAGATCAAAGTCTTTGTCAACATAACACCACCACGAGAACATCGGGACGGTGTCTAAAGGTCCTTCTACTGATCTGAACCATGGGGCAGCCATCTTCCTTTAAGTTTCTACCATTCAAAGCAATGTAACCAAAGTTTACCAAACTGAGGCTGGAGGGGAAAATAGTCTGCTCCATTTAATAATCAACAAGTTGTATTACTATTGTCAGCGGGTCTGCAGGGAACAAGACAAACATGGCAGCATCATGATAAAGGACTATATACCATGAGCCTTTAAATCCATGTTTCAGAATGGTGCATGTTTATTGCTTTGAAACCAACAAAGCAAACAGGTAGATTGAACAGTAAAGCACAAGCGAACATTTCTCCGTGCAGAGAAGTTGACAACCACGGCCGCTACAGTGGTCGCCACTATCTTGGCTGCTCTGCCCCACATCGTCAACTGCTGGATGGTGACGGATTGGCTGCTGATGGCCAATGCCTTTGTTCTCCTAACGGGCGTGGGAGCGGTCTTCACGCTGGTCGCGGTGATGTTGAAAGAGTACTTGGGACAAGACAGGCTCGCCCAGGCCATGGGCTGGTCCAACTTCTTTGCCGGCTTATTCAGGTGTCTCGGGGGATTTATTCCCGGTAAAGCAGCACTTTCTCATTCGTTTCGATCAACCTGCATCTTTATAATGAAATGGACAAGACTAAAAGCATTATGTAAAGACTATTCTCAAAAGGAATGGTGCCCAATATTATTTTAGAAAGAAAGGAAGGCGCTTCGGAGGTGAAGGTAGGCCAACTCATTCCAGTCTCCCAGGCAGGAACTGGCGTCACATGATACCTATTGGGAACGCTGATTTGCCCGACGCTCAATCTGAGCGCAGTTTGTTGAAAAAGGTGCTCAATATCAAAACGCAGGGACTCACTACTCAATCGTGCCAAATTACGTTCTCACGAGTCTGCATTAACTCAAACGTAAAAGAACATCTGATCACAGAACATGTTTTTTGCAATGCGGTCGCACACAGACAGAAAACATCACAATTCGAAATTTGACGCAATTTGAAAAATGTGTTTTTGAAATGGAAACGAATTCTCTACGCTTCGAAATTACTGTCTCCATTGGTAAAATTCTGTTCCTTTTTATTTTCAGGTTTTGTGTATGATCACACTGGCAGCTATGACTTCGGTTTCGCCGTCATCGGGATCTTGCAGTTGATTGTGATGGTTCCTCTTCTGTTGAAAAGTTTGCGTAGCTGCCGCTAGATAACTAGTCCTAGCTTTGTTTTTTCGTTCTCACTATCTTTATGGATTCCGCACAAGACTCCTACTTTGCTAAACATTCGTTTATCTGAATTATGTATCTTCCCCCCCCCTTGATTTCTCCAACATCTGCTTGTTTTCACTACATGTGTTTTGACCACGTCCATGCTGCTATTTGCTCCAAATTGAGGACGCTGTTGCAAAGATGCCGCTTCACTGGGGTACACTTTATAGTTTAAAAGTATATATTTATCAAGTCTAGCAGAATTCTGAATTTGAGTCTGGAAGAACAGCAACAGTTTTTCTGGCGCAGATGCACCCGTAACGTGGACACGCCTACCCATGATAGCAATTTTATCGAATACGGAATATTAATATTGCAATCATCTAGCGAATACTGATATTTGTTTTAGCAACCAAGAAGTCGAAGACTTGACAATGCAAAGACTGAAAACAAAGTTAATCGGGCGCAAATGAGACCATTTTGTGTGTCTCTTTTCCTCTTGTGCTTTGCTGTAAAAAGACCAAATTCCGTATTGATGCGCCACTCAGTTTAGTATCACAATGTAAACGGGGGGGTTATTTAGGTGAAAAGGATATGGGTTGATATAGCGCCCGCCATCGTGCGAGACTCACGGCTTTGAGATCAATTATAACCTTGGTAAGGTCACTTTCCTAGGTTGGGTCACACGTGTGCATCGGGAGAATCAATGAAATCCCGCAATGACACTTTGTGGTCTCCATCGTTGGCCTCTGGAATTCAATAAGCCGTTCGCGAGTTAAATTTGAATAAAATCTGGTGCAGTGAGTTATCTGACTGCACATAAAAATAACGATTTGAATTCCCCAGACTAAAGGACACCGTTGCTATACCTCGCGATTAGGGGCAAGCTTTCGCATACACTACCATCTCTGGAATGGACTGGTTCCTTTGTGCCCTCGTTATCAATTGAGAACAGTGTATTGTTGCAAGGCGTCTCTAAAGTAAGCAAAAGCTTGCCACGAGTCACTAGGTATAGCAAAGGTGGATTTAGTAAGGAGAATTCAAGTTGTTATGTTCACGTGAATTGAAAGAGCTCAGTGTACCAGATTTGGGGCAAAGTTAACTCGCAAAAGGCTTATCTTTGTGCAATGTTTCCCTGCTGTTGGTGGATACCCATTCAGAGCGTTCAAAGTTTACCTGATGCTCAAAGGTGAGTCGGAACAAAGGTAACTGCATTGGGTGCACCTTCGCAGACATTTAGGGCAAGTGACCTATGCACAATTTTGAACGGAAAAACGTACGTCATTCATAAGGCTCCGTAACTTTAATAAGTAAAGAGGTATTCGTTGGGCATGACGTGCACCTTGTTTGATTTTTATGACGGTTGGCACTGTTAAAAAACAAGGCCAAGACAACAAATTCCAACGGGAACACATTTCCCCAGTCAGTCAGAATTATTACAGTCAATCACGTTACCAGATCTTGGGCTTCTTTCAAGCCGTCTTTATCACCTGGCCCTCTGGTACACTTTCTCGAGGCCTTGGTGATAGTTTGTTTTTTGAGTTGGCGTATACGAGCAAGGACGTGGCAGTGGAAGTTCTGCTTGTCACCGGCGGCGCGGGTAGCGGTATGGGCCGCGGTGGTACCGGCAGGCAGTGGCGTAGCCGGGTGAGGGAGGGCTGAGGGCACGTGCCCCCACAGATTCCTGATGCCCCTAGGTGCCCCCCACTAAAAAACGGATGAATGGATATTGAGCAAGGCAAGCAAAAACTTGCCCCCCAAAGCCACACCCCTGAAAGCTGGTGCCCATAAGATGCTGGTGCCCCCTTTGTGCCCCCACTAACATCCTCGCTACACCATCGGTGGTAGGTATGTACCGCGCGGTGTCAGCAAGTCTTGTTACATGACATAGCCTTATCTTACCAAAGATAAACATATGTATACGTGTATTGTTTGCCTGCCTTGAATCTTTTATTATTGAACGTGGTGCAAAGGTTTCCCCGGAGGTCGTGTGGTCTTGAACTTAGAACTGTCAAGACACAACAGTCTTTTTCTCCTCGATATTTATCGGCCAGACTTACAAAAAAGCATGCACTACAATGACTCTTAGGAAGTCATGTCCCCCTTTCGGCCTTGATTTCATCAGCAAGCATTATTTTGTGCTGGAGTGAGCCCAAGTAGCCCTTTTCTGATTTCTCATTGACGTTTTGACATCAGTTCTATAAAATTTTTGCATGAACTGCCGACTTCCATATCGACCGCTTTCTCGAGCCAGTGCTTTTGACATAGGCCTACATAATAAAATGTATCTGCAACATTATTTTTATGCAGAGTCACTTTGCTCCTGACTTTTCGCGTGGTTGGACGAGTGTACTATTGGCATTTGTGAAATCTAACCACACTGGCATATACCTATTATTAACAAGGACTGTAACTTGTGAAAGTGTTAGGATTTCGTGACATCATTTCGGCGCATTGGGTTTTTGTAAAGAAAACTTGATGCAGCATCTCTTTTTGAAATAATTATTCGAAACATGCGCTCCGTACTCTGAACCATACATGTAGTGCAAAAGGTGACCCTCCAAACATGACGCCAAAAACTGTACACAATGACCAAGCAATGCAAACAAGATTGGAATCAATGAAAAGTTGTCGTTGGAAAGAACTGTAAAGGTTAGGGCGTCTTTCACAGGGCGCGTCAATATTGTCCCATTGAGCGAGGTCGTGAATTTTGGTCTTCAATACGCAATACACACGTTGGTCTCGCATCATGTCGCAGACGGTTAAAATGCCAAGTCAGTGTGTGACCGTGATGGGCCTCCATCCTTGTAACATACTCAAAAGACTTGACAAGAGGCTATCGTTTGCCTTGGTGTACCTTGAACTTGGGACTACATAGGAAGGGTATATATAGCTTCACTGGACTGAACCTCGTTCGCCTGGCGTTCTTTGAAAGTGGTGATTCGGGGCAGCGTATTCGCTGTGACTACGTGGCGTAGAGCTGCTGGATTGAAGGTAGGTTGCCGTCATTCACCGTTTAAGCTATTCAGTGTAAATATGTAATTAGTTACTGTACGAGTTGACGAGGCACGGTTCTCACCAACTATGTGTAGAAAGTATTCCTGGATATTAGGTCCTGGAATAGTTCACTGCTTCCAATCTGTGGTAAATTGTTGTTTTATGAAAGCTGATATGTGGTGATCGAAAGTGAACAGGGTTCTGCCCCGATCACTGGACACTGTGGCCGAAAATAATCACGTCAAAAATTGAAAATCACCGTAGATGGGACCTGCGTGTTAAACCGGGCTGTTGTATGCTGACATCTACCATACATTATGTCGAGGTTCGGCAGGCGGATCTTACAGCATTTGGCTCTGTTCCATCTAGGGTTTGGGGCCAATAGGTCGACCTGAATGTTGTATAAAATTCCTACCTTTCTTACTGGGGGTACCCTTGGGGGGAGGGGGGATCACTTGAAAATTCAAACATAAGGAAAACAATTCTTACAATGACATTACATGATGTTTTAGAGGGGAGCATGTGAAATCTTGGATTTTTTTGGGAAGATCGCTCAATGACATTTCTGTCTCCTATACGTGTAAAATAGACATTGCTTAAGCTGCGGAGAATTCTATGGATCACAGTGAAAGAATTTGCCATGACAGAAATTGGACCCCCCTTTTTTCAGCTTTACACCATGGATCGGTGCCTCAATGCCTATATTGACTCTGAAGGGGTCCTGACGGATTTTTCTCTAGCCTCTTTAACGCTTTTCGTGGCGGTTTTGCTTTGTTTCCTTTTTTAGGGGCTGGGGAAGTTGGCAAGTCTCCCACTTGTTTTGATGCCGAATTTATACCAGCCCCTGGGGTACCACATACTAGAGTGGAATGTCACATTTACGAGTGCGGAATGGCGAAACATAGCAAGAGCGAACTTTTTGCATTAACCGTGCATTTTGAATTTCGCGTATATTTTCTGGGAAAACAGTGTTTATCTGGCCTGTTTTTAATATTTTATTTAATTCATTAATTGTAAAAGCCCCTCAGTGGTTCAACCTTACTAAAACTGTACACATGACTTATGAATGGTTGCATATTCATGTATCCTAGAGGTCCGAGCCGCTCCAAATCGGCTGCACTGAGACAGGTTGAAAAAAATCTCTGTCCGATGTCAATTTGTAGGGTTGATCCGTTTATCTAAAAAAATACAATTGAGATATGCCAAGCCTTGACAACCATAACCATCATCGGCCTTGACCATACACTGCAAAACTGCAACATGTTTTGCTGTTTATCAGAGTACCACACCATAGGGTGTTACTTTAACACTGCCGGTGTTACTTTGCACACCTATAGACCTACAATGCACTGGAGGGTGTTAAACGTGACACAAACAAAATTTTTAACTTTGTGAAAAGTATTGGCATAGTCTTCTGATAACGGGGCTGTTAAATTTAACACCCCAATTTTTGCAGTTAAAGCTTATATTGGCAATAAATAGCTTATCAATTTTATGTCACTGTTACGCGTAATCGGTCGTTGTACATGTACATTCACTAAACGAAATGAATGAATAGACGTGTTTGTAATGTGCAGTCGTTTTCCCCTCGCCGTCGATGGTTTCGCTATGATTTGCTTGGCCTTGGTCATGTGCACAGCTGCATGTGGTAATAATTCAGGGCTGGGAATGCGTGGTTGACAAGTTACAGGTTAAGTTCACCCGGGGCATGTCCCACTCTGCCACCTGCTCCCAAGGCGGATCCAGCTCAAAATTTAAATGGCACTCTGCACGACTTCAAACTTAATATAACTTACCATTCAGGCCCCCTAGTAAAATAAAGTAGGGAAGTAATTTTTGCAAAAGTGATAACTGAAGTTAAACCAATGCCAGTCACGTGTCACCGGCAAGGAGAAGCTTGGACCGCGCCAGAAAGTTGAGGCTACGACCTGAACCAACATATGCGCATATGGAAACTGTTGGCTAACAGATTTCCCAAGAGCCTTAGCCACAGGACGTGTACAGAGCTTATTATATCAACGTAAATCAAATCAGAAGATGTATGAATAAGTAATTGAAGGGAAAATATGCGACTGTTAAATAAGCAATATAACTTTTCATTGTCGGGTTTCTTATTTCTTCCAAAGAGTTGAATCTACGATCGGGCCCCGACTTAGCGAAAGCACATCATGGGCCTCTTCCGCTTCTTCCTGGCCATCTGGTACATTCTCGTGGGCTTTGTGAAGTTTCTCACCCCAAGGTTTTTGCGCAAACGGAAGGACGTGAGCGGGGAGATAGTGCTGATCACCGGCGGGGGTATGGGCATGGGCCGCCTCTACGCTATCGAGTTTGCTAAACGCGACGCCAACGTCGTTCTGTGGGACGTCAACACGGCAGGTTAGACGACCTGGGCTCACGTAATCTTATCAGGGGAGAAAGAAACAAATATTGATTATCCACCTGAGGTCATTGTGATCTTGGACTTTCAACGAGAAGTCTAGACACTCTATTATTATGTTATACAAAATGTTTGCGAAACCTCGAGCTTTAAGCTACAAAGTTCAATCAATCTGTGAACATGAAACAAGTACTTTTGCGGTCTTGACCTTTGTTATACATAGGTTTTGTGGTTTAAATGTGATACTTTTGTGAGATATTCTTCCCCCATTCGCCCTCAAATTATCCTTTTACCTACATAAATTACTAAAGATCGTGATATTCGTAAAACTAAGCTTACTCTGAATAAACCGTATTTGCGGGATACCCAATTTCAGTCAGATTCCCCAACGCAGTGTATTCATTTGAAAACGTTAAATTTAAAGAACCAGACTCTATTCTACGATTTCATTCCGACCTCGAAAATCACCGCGGTACCATCCCATTAAGGGTTTCAAATGTATAGAACACGTTCAGGAATACGACTGAAATTGGTACCCTGCGAATACGGTCTATGTGAAGAATATCACAGTCTCTTGAAACCCCACTATCCAGCTAACGAAGAGACAAGTCGCATGATCCAGGCCTTCGACGGGAGAGTATCGGCCTACACGGTGGACGTGACCAACGCCGATGAGGTGTACAAGACTGCGGCCAAGGTCAAAGCTGAAATCGGTGACGTCACCATCTTGGTGAACAATGCCGGGGTGGTGACGGGCAAACTTCTCTTGGACTGTCCTGATCACCTGATCAGACGGACCATGGACGTCAATGCTACGTCACACCACTGGGTGAGGGAATACAGCGTGTGAAGCCTGAAGTTGATGAAACAGGTTTTGAAGTTTAAATATTTCCAAAGGTTTAAGTTGGAATTTGTTTTTGATTTGAAAATAAATTCGTGTTGTTGAATGCGTTCTTGAAGATTAAAATGAGCACACTGCTAAAATAGCAATGACCCTGATCGAGTATGCTACGAAAACGTTTAAGTTCACAGGGATTGCAAACTATGGTTGATGCAAAAAGATCAAAGGTGCACCTTTGATAATTTCAATTAGTAAGCGAACCTCGTCGAAAGCAGCAAGACTTTCTTACCCACAACCTCGTCTGTATAGAACTTTCTCATTACTGCCTGTTCGTATGGGCAG